TTCATTCTTACATTGCATAATCTTCTGTTATATCTTTCTTCTTTCCTTTCCTCCCCTTATATTGTATTATCTATTCTCTCTCTTCTCTCCCAGCTCTCTCCTATATAAGTTCATATTGTGTATGAGAGTGTTACATTTTGGATGTAGTGAACAGTCGAATAAACATCATGCTCACAATGAGATTAAAGACATTAATGTGCCTCTCCATTTGTCATAACGAAATTATATATATATATATAGATATATATTTTTCGTTACACCAATATCATGACGTCATATGTAAAAGATTGCAATGCACAATCTTCGATAAAAGAAGACCATTTTTTAAACTGCTTAATTCTAAACACGCTCCGTCAATTTTCCTTAATTATTAACATTCACAAAATAATCACAACAGGCAATATTTTAGTCATTAATATTGCATGTTGACAAGGCATTTGATCGCTATTATCGCGTTGAAGTTTTTTGTGTTCGACATTTAATTATGACAAGTCTGACAACTTTTTCAGATGTAATTTACTCACGAATTTCTAATAGAATGCTATCGAAAATCAAAGCAATGATAACAAATTTGATTTCAAGATCTCCATCGTTTGCAACTATGTGTGTTATCAGTAACTTGATATCAAAATTTCTTTGTTGTTTAACACACTACATATCATCAATGAAAATCATCAAAAAATAGTGAGGTTTAAGTGTGGGTGTGGGTGCCGGGAAAGAATATAGCGAGACCCACACCCTATAAACAAAAACTCGAATACTCTCAATTTCGTTTCAACCGATGATTCAATGTTCCCATGTACCGCTGCTCGAAAGAGAAATCTATTCTATAGAAATAAATAGCTCGAATACTCTCGATTTCGTTTCAATCAATAATTCGATATTCCCATCTCCTGCTGCTCGAAATCGAAATCTATTGTGCAGAAATAAGTAGCTCAAATACTTTCGATTTCGTTTCAGCCAATGATTTAATGTACCCAACTCCCGCTGCTCGAAAAAGAAATCTATTCTATAGAAATAAATAGCTGAAATACTCTCGATTTCGATTCAACCGATGATTCGATGTTCCCATGTCCCGCTGCTCGAAAAAAATCTTTTCTATAGAAAAAAATAGCTCAAATACTCTCGATTTCGTATTAATAAATGATTCGATGTCTCCATCTCCCGCTGCTCGAAAACAATCTACTCGATAGAAACAAATAGCACATATATTCTCGATTTCTCTTCAACTAATGATTCGATGTCTCCATGTCCCGCTGCTCGAAAATAATCTATTCTATAGAAACAAATAGCTCAAATATTTTCGATTTCGTTTCAACCAATGATTCGATGTTCCCATGTCCCGAGCGCGGAACTAGAAATTACACTATAAGAAAAATGATGAATAAGATTTGCTTTTACAAGAAAACAATAAATAGAATGACTAATGGCTTTTCATCAATAAAATAACAGGTCGAATATATTTTTATTTTCCGAGAAGTAATAGAAAATATAAATTTGATAAGAAACAAAATGAACTAAGTAATTTCAATCTCAACTAGATTCCAAACTCCACTGCAATATATATGTTGCAGTGGAGTTTGGAATCTAGTTGAGATTGGAATTACTTAGTTCACTTTGTTTGTTTAAAAATTTTTCTAACACGTATTCAAGAAAACTTGTTTGTTTCTTGTCAAATTTATATTTACTATTACTTCTCGGACAGTAAAAAGTATCTTCGTACTGTTATCTTGTTGATGAAAAGTCATTAGTCATTCTATTTATTGTTTCCTTCTAAAAGTAAATCTTACTCATCATTTTCCTTATGTTGTAGTTTCTATATAGACGCTCGGGACATGGGGATGTTAAACGATTGGTTGAAACAGAATCGAGAGTACTTGAGCTATTTCTTTCTATAGAATAAATGTTTTTCGAGCTGCGGGACATGAGGACATTGAATCATTGGTTGAAACGAAATCGAGAGTACTTGAGCTATTTCTTTCTATAGAATAGATGTTTTTCGAGCTGCGGGACATGGAGACATTGAATTATTGGTTGAAACGAAATCGAGAGTATTTGAGCTATTCGTTTCTATAGAATAGACACTTTTTTCGAGCTATGGGATATGGGGACATTGAATCATTGGTTGAAACGAAATTGAGAGCATTTGAGTTATTTGTTTCTTTAGAATAGATCTTTTTTCGAGCAGCGGGACATGGAGACATTGAACGATTGGTTGAAACGAAATCGAGAGTATTCGAGCTATTTGTTTTTATAGAATAATTTTTTTTTGTAAGAGATTCACATGAAAAAACAACTAATGTAATTAAAAACAAACAGATATAGAATGTGTTTCTTGATTGAATGTTCCATAGCAACGAACATCAATCGATTAATTATAATGAGATAAATAAAATTCATAAAATTCTAATATTCACTAAATAAGAATGGTTAAAAATGAAAACTTTCTATATGTAAATATTTTAAAATAATTCCAAATAGATCATAGAAGTTCGACGAATCATTTAGAATCGCTAAAATTACAACAGTTGAATACAATAGTACACAAACATTAATTATCGTGTGACTCATACTATTTACATGCATTCCAAACTCAACTGAATTCCCATGTCAACTGTGACATATATATCGGAGTTGTCCAGAGACACAATGTAGGTTAAATGCATTCGAAAAATTATTTTATGTCGATTTAGGTTTAATTCAGACATCAACACAGAGACAAATTTTCACAGCTTGTGTTCTATATTGTTTATCGTTAGGTAAAATACTTCTATTTTGTTTTGAAGAAGAAATAACCAACGAAAGAAAAAGGAGAAAAAAATAAGCAACAGAGAATATATAAATTCACAAGCATCTCACCATTCTGCACCATTATACAAGTCGTCAACATAAACGAAAAAAAGAAGAACTAGGTGAGTATACGATCGTTTCAAGACTGCAAAATTATGTGCGCGGTAGGAAATCTTTTGTATGTTCTTGGCAACTTGTAGCAAGCAGCGAGGCTCTTTCTTGTGTACGATTATGCACAATCATTCTAATTCTGAAGAAAAAGAAGATATATTGAAGTCCGTCTACCGGAAAAAAATTTTGACAACTTCTCTCCAATAGATTGCTTTTTCCCCATCGTTAGCCAAAAAATTTGATAATTCTATTTCAACATGAACCATCAATTCGAATAGGATAGAAAGAACGAGAATAAGAAAACGTTTCGTTAGATTATTATCAATAAAGAAGTTTTTGCAGAAAAGAAATGTCACGATCAGCTAGATTATTCATTTCCACTAGTGGATTAAATCGAATCCAATGTCAGATTACATTGGAAGGTATCGGACTTCGACAAATCTGGCCGGATCACGTCGAAATTCTTTCTCTCTGAGTCTGAACACCGAATACAATAATATTTTGTCTATATTTTCTCTTCCAAAGGGACGATTTGAAGCTCCGCCGGGGTAATCATATAGTACGTGACGCAATAACTATTGATTCCATGGGCCGAGACAACCGCGTCTCCGAATGAAGGCGGGGAGGGGGAGGGCGCTGTTCTCTTGGACACTTCCCTGAATAAAATATTGGAATATAGCCAGAACTAGTAAGACCTGTTCATCAAAAACAGACTAGCTTGCTGTGCGGAATCCGGGCGATAAGATTTTACTGGATTTTTACTACGACCCGTGATTGATATCTCTCAACTTCTGGATCAATTTACAGGAGTAATGATCATTTATTGCATGTAAGAAGATTCGTTGATCGATCTCAGAATGAATTGGGTTTTGTGTTTTTCGTGTTTAGTCTTCAATATATTCGCGGAATTAAACTCAAAATAAATTGTTTGTCTTTGCTTTTTTCTGCTTATTTAAACATCTAGGATGTCTATATTGACGGGAAACGATTTGCTTCAACGTCTAAGTAATTACAATGCCGAGTATTATTGTATAATCGAAAAGGTTGAATTTTTCCCTGGTCTCATTCGTATTTATATTGATGAACGAGGAGATAATTCACTCGGTATGTTGATTTTTGAATAAATAGAAACCAAAGAAAAAAATTCTACAATTATTATTTGATATACTTAGGTGCTATTCAAACTCCAATGAGTTCAACATTAGGTATTGTAAATGAATCTTCGCTATCAGAAGCTAAAAGTCCGATTGATGGAAAATTTTCTATTAGCGATGACTCTCGTCAATATTTAGGTAAACCTAATTTATTCTTTGTTTTTTCATTCTAATTTTGTTCATTTTATGAATATAGGTTATCTTGATTTTGCATTGGATGATTCGTTGTTGAACAATCAAAATATTATTGGTTTTCAATATGGCAATTGCGGTTATTCAACGGCAAGACTCTTTCGGTTGGATCAGGAGTTAATTGATAGATATCATATCAAATCGACATAGACATTGAATAATATTAACATATGAACAGTGAAATTTCGGCTTCCATTTCTCTTTTTTCTTTTCTTTTTTTTATATAAACATTTTCATCACAAAATTTATAATTCTCTCTACCTTTTCGACCTATCTGATGAGTTATAATCTATTCAATCGAATAAATATCTAATTTCTTTCTTCACGCTCTCGCACGCTTAAATTATGTAAACATAAACTACATCTTGGTATTTGACATTCGAAAGCAACACTATTTTTATTCCTTGGAAAAAAAGGAAATATTGCCATATCCAGTATCTAGGCTGAGCTCGTGATTTTTTCGATTGCTCTTGGTATAAAATATGTTTCATTTCTTGATACATGTTCCTTGTGACTTTACATCGTCGAGAATGGGTTCATTCGCATGGCTCTTTCTTAACGTATCATAAAGATCTGTCTTTCGAACATTGAAAATTTTATTCATAGTACACACACATTTTGAATAGCATCTTACTCTATTTCTCATTCTTTTCAACACAGAAATAACGTATTCTACTTCGATATCATAATGAGTATTTCTCTCGAACGATGATACATCGAAAATTAGAACGAAGTTTCATTTTTGCACTCAAATTCAAGCAAAAAGAAGACATGCCTTGAAAAATGTGTAGAAGAACAATCGGATGTCGATGAACATCAACATGATGAAATAATGTGAAAAAAAAACTTTGAACTATGCATTAGCAATCTTGTTAGTTACTCTACAATAAAGCTTCGAGCATTTTCATCCATAGAAGTATCAGCAATGCTACAGCATAATCATCTACACTCCATGTTAGTATTGACTTTGTTGATTGGATGTATGGATGTGGGTGTAGATGTATAGGTGTATGTCTCCGCTACATCCACACCCCATTTGATAATGATTATCTCTGCTTATATCTAGCTTCTTTTCCTCCAAAGATTTTGGAAAAATATTTTTTTTATTGAATTTTTAAACAAAACTCCGTAGTCTTCCTCAGTTCATGTTGAAAGTTGACTTTTCAATTTTGACTTGAAACTTTACACAAATAATGTTCTCAATGGAACTAGCTCATTTTGAAAGTTTCATCTTTTTTCGTTGTTTCTATTGTTAAATACGAATAAATGAATTCTATACCGAATATTTAGTACTAATAATTGAAAATAATCATACAGACTTGTATTTTTTTTAATTTTTTCAAACTGTGAAAATATTCTTTGTAAAGAATAAAATCAAGTTAGATATAAAGAAATGTATTAAATAATATCAGACCAAGACAACAAATAGTTTGATATATTCTATTAGAGGATGATTTCAATTAATGATATTGAAAATGAATATCAGTGGTACAGATATTATTATCAGTGCTTTTAACGATAGGGTGGATGTGAGTGTGGGAATGGGTGAAGGGAAGACCGATATCGACACCCTCATCCTCTATATAATGATATCATGACAAGGTGCTATGGATGCCTTAATAGGATTTTTAGAAAAAAAATTCATATTATGGCACAATTGGTAACACTAACTATCTATCATATTATTAAAATGGGTCGTTTAAGATTCCCCTCAGAAAATCGAGTTTTTCAGGAAAATATCGAAGTTGAGTTTTTATTACAGGAAGATGCAGTGAAGCTTCCTCTCTCAGAATATATATAGTTTTTTGGAAAATAATTACCATTGTACTTCGAATTATCGATGGAATAGGTGTGTATAGATTTTTAGAAGACTATTACTGCATATCACCACCCATAACCAAAATAACAAAAAAACTCAAACTCTTCATTATACAGTGAAAGATAATTGATTACTCTCCTTTTGTTGTTTTAGTTTTATGACTATACTTCCTTTGTCTATTAACCTACTATATATAGCGAGAAAGTATGAAATATGCTGCACCGTATGTCATATTTAGTTTCAACAACAAATTTAGTCGATAGTATAAAAAGTAACATTTCATGTAATGATCTATATTTGGTACCTTTTCTATATCTCTTTTAGTTTCGAAAAAATGACGCCGTGCGCATGCTCACACATGTCTCATAGACAAGCGACTTGACTGTAATCTGTTGCCATATTCGATATAGAATTTTTTTTTTGGTTATCAATCCATTCGGCGATACTAGAATTGGCGAACTTGAACGCCGGCGAAAATCGACTAATGATAGAATATGAAAGAGCGAGAAATGTCTGAGTTTATTTTGAAATTTTTGTCTTTTCTGCAACTTTTACAAAAGCTATATTGCAAGAAAATTTCACAATTTTTGCGTTCTGTATTCTTTCGAGTATATATGAATGAATCATGAATTTCGCAACAAAATATGACGAAATTTTTATCTTGGTATTACGAAAATAAAAAGGTAATGCAAAATGTATTTCTTTGATATTGTAAAAAAGTTAACGATGGAGACACCTCTATTACTAACAGATAAACAAGTACAAGAGTTTTTAATCAATGGTTATTTGGTTCTTCAGCCTATCTCTCTTGATCGAAATATTCACTCAACAATATTTACTGAAGCTAAGTCGATTTTCGAGAAAGAAACCAATCCAGGAAACAATATTCTTCCACGGATTCCTCAACTTCAGTATGTATTCGATGATCCAGTAGTTAGAGGTGCATTAGAAAGTTTATTGGGTTTAAATTACACCATGCAACCACATCGACATGCACATTTAACACGTCCCGGAACTAAAGAGCAACAATGGCATCAAGATAGTTATTTTGGTTATCGAAAACCACTTCGTCATCATCAATTACGTTATATCATGGCCATGTATTATCCTCAAGATACAACACTAGAAATGGGACCCACTGCTATTAAACCTCGATCACAATACGATGTTATAGATCGGAAACTACATACAAATAATAAAAATGACGATCAGCACGATATTTATCTAGTTTGTCAAGCCGGTACTGTGGTAATAATTCATTATGACATTGTGCACAAAGGAACAGCCAATCGAACAAGTGATTCATGTCGTTTTATGTTTAAATTTCAGTTTAATAGACTCGAAGAACCAACTCAACCAACATGGAATCATGACCCAACAAATACTTTTTATGACGCAGCGGATGCGGGATTATTACAACCCATTGTCAAACATCTCTGGAACTGGATGATAGGTCGTGTAATTACCTCACAACAACCTCTAATTGATCAAGATATTACTAACTGGAAAACGCAGCTACATAGTCAAGATGGAAAAATACGTCTTAATGCAGCTTATAATCTAGCCTTGAATAATGAATACAATATCTTAATTCGACGATTATATAACAACAAAGAAGCAATTCGTTTCGAAGCGGCATATGCATTAACAGCTTGTCGACATAGTAAAGAGGCGATTACTGAATTACGAGCAGTGCTAAAAAAAGAAGAAAAGAATGAATACATCGCATATAGTATAGTATTTATTCTTTCCGAAATGGGATCAACAGCAATTGATACATTGCCATTATTGATACGCATAGTTGAAACTAGTGATTCATGTTTAGTGAAACAATACTGTTGTGAAGGACTAGGAACTATCCAAGCAAATGAACAACATGATATTAACATGGTAGTACGATGTTTGACAAATGTCCTTGCGGATCGAGATCAACCGAACGATCCTAAAGATTCATCTCATATGAGATTGACTGCTGCATTATCCATGGCTAAACTTGGTGCTAAAGCAATAGAAGCAATACCTATTCTAAAAGATGCACTTTATCTCGATCAGAATCGTTATGTAAATGCTAATGCATTGTTAGCTTTAGAAAGAATTGGAACAAATGAAGCTTTACAAATTGTTTTGAATTATCTTAAAATGTCGCGATGGTGTACAAAGACAACAGCTAGTAGTCCATATTAGAAATGTTTTTGTATCAGACAAAAAAAATTATTTTCAATGTTTTATTGATAAAAAGTCAAGAAAATTCGAAATCATTTTATTGATTGCAATAGTAGCTCACTATGAATTATCACATAGAATGATGTTCATTAGAGCAGTATTCGTTTTCTGTCACTACATATTAAACTCAATAAATATTCTTAATATACATTCACAATTTGATGACTCATGCAACTAACAGGAAACATACTCATTATAGGACCTCACCTGTTTGGGCCCTTTTTTTTCTAAGTTGGGTGTGGGTGTGGATTTTATTTTTCATTTTAATCACACCCACACTTATATTCACACCAACATCTACACTCCACACCCTACCCTGCATTTTTGTCGGGCAAGACCTGAAATTCAGAATCAGCATCAAATTTTGCATCTTACGACATATAATTGAATAGGTTTAAAGAAATTTTTTTTTCGAGGTTCCTGAGGTTCTCTAGGGATATCAAAAACTAGATAAAAAATGAAAGTGGTTTTTTGACAGAAAAAATACCTCATTTCACTCAGAATTTAATTTTGACTACGAATATGTAATTCATTGTGAAAAATATCATGAACAAAAAAAATGACCTTATCAACACTTGTCCTTTGGTTATTTGTAAAACTAAAAATCATTTCATCACTTTCATTACTTTCGCATTAGTGTCGTTATTGTTACATCATATTCATTCCATGACTTTGATTAATTAAAGCACATTACATTTATTCTATTAGTTTCAATCTGTTTCCATCATTGTCATTCCATGAATTCAATTTTTACGAAATCAAAATCATTACACGACTTTCATCATTTTTTCATCATTTTCATTTCATGATCTTGATTATATATAAAACATCAAAATCACTACGTTAGTTTCATTATTTTTGCATCACATTCATTGTAGGACTTTAATTTTTTAAACAAAAATCAAAGTTATGCAATTAGTTTCATTTTAATTTTATTTGAATCACCAAGTTTTTAGAACGTTCCAGATGAGTGAACTTGCTATTCGTTTTTTGTGTAAAATTTTTTCATGAATGTCTTTAATGTAAAATATATAATGAAACACCATCTGGTTTCCAAAAACGTTGTGAAAAATGATTAATTTGAGTTTATCTATACATTTGTCCTTATACGTATAGGTTTTACAAAGACAGGAAGGATGCCGTACGCTACTTTTTTCAGCGAAAGTTGTTAAATTTAATACTCTAACTGTTACTTTTTAGTCGGTACAGAGTAAGTTGAACTTTTCATAAGTTCACTACACAGTCTCTCGAGGGACAAGAAACCTGTACTTTGTGAGATGTTCAGATAACTTAATCCACCTGAATGTGCAGAAAACTCAGGTGGGAAAAAGGCTACGCAATCATCAGGCTATGATTTTCATGTACTTTTAATGGCTATCATAACATGAAAATTTTGAAAATCATCAACGACTTTGAAAAACATGTAGGTTTTTGTCCATTTCATTATCAGAAATGCCATTTTTTCTGATGTCGATCATCATTTCTCTCACGAAGAAATTTCATGAAAATGATGGAAAATACATCGTTTTTTTTGAGTGTTCGCACTCCATGGGTGGTTTTCTGCTTTTGAATAGCTTATTATTTTTTTTTCTAATCTCCGAGTTAACATAAGTCTATTAGTTGTTTGACGTCATTATGAATATATTCAAGCGACCTAGACTATTGTAGTTTAATCCGGAAGGAAAAGTAAAAAGAAATCCTAATAGTATTTGTGCATAGTAAGAAAAAAAAAAGAAAGAAAGAAAGAAAGATATAATTTTTTTCTTGTTTATATGACATGTTGACGTCTGGATCTTTTTATTTCCAATTAAAAATTAAAAAAAAAATATATTCGTAGGTCAAGAAGTATGAGCCAGTTTCGACCGGAAAACACCGGAAATTGCTAGAACAATGAAGCAGTATTCCGACCGGAATTTTTCAGCCCGAATATGCTTCTATGTTCCAGCGATTTCCAATCGGATACAACGATTTTTCTCACATCTTTCCTGTCAGTTCTAGTGAAATCCGATTATTTTCGGAGATCGAAATTATTGATCTAGGTTTCTGTAATCTTCTAGATCTTTCTAATTAAAAATGTCTTCGAACGATACAAGTATTGTTCAACTTCAATTAGCTACTCGATGTATAGCTTTTGCAGTTGGCTTTCCAGTACTTATAATTGGTATTGTAGGTAATCTTACAAATATTATCGTTTTTCTTAGTTTTGGTAATTATAAAAAAAATGCCAGTTCATTTTATATGCTTGCTAAATCATTTTTTGATTTAAATGTACTTATTATTGGTCTAATTGGTCATATTATAATTCAAGGTTTTCGTTCATATGCTGTGACAAGTGAAAGTTGGTGTAGATTTCGTATTCCATTATTATATATAAATTCTCTTTGTTCTTATACTTGTGTTTGTTTACAATCAATTGATTTATTTTTATGTTCTTCTCAAAATCCGATTTTACGTCAACAAAGTACTATTCAAAGAGCTCATTATTTAGTTATTGGATTTTTATTTATTTGGATTTGTAATGAATCTCCATATTATTTTATGAAACAAGTTAATTTAATACCCAATTGGAGATGTCAAACAACAAATACAATCTATTCTCAATATCGAAGTTATTTTACTATATTAGTATTATCTAATATTATTCCAATTTTAATAATTGGTTTATTTGGATATTTTTCTTATCGAAATATGCATAGATTAAATATAAATCAACGGCGTACACTTTCTATTTTTAATAGACAAACAATAAGAATGGCTTTATTTGCAATTTCTATTGTCTTAGTATTTCAAGTTCCATATACAATTGCACAAATTTATTTTACTGCTACAGTAAATATTACTAAAAATATTTATCGTCAAACACAAGAACAATTAGCAAATGTTTTTTTCTTCATTTATGCTTATAATACAAATGCAGTAAATTTTTCAATATTATTCTTTTTTTTTTTTGATTAATATTCAATTATTTCTATTTTCAGAGTTCTTTCTATTGTTATTATGCAGCTTCGAAAAAATTTCGAGAACAAGTTCTACAAGTACTCAACAAATTGACAATTAACCAAAGAAGAAATCGAGTTATTCCATTTAGTCAAACTGGTCGTATACTTACTCTAAAATCTTCACTTCGTTTAGAAAAATGATCATATATCTTATTTTAATCATACTTTTAATGTATCTTTTTCTTTTTCAATTTTTGTTGTTCGTAATATAACATATAATACAAAAGTCACTGCACTTAGTCAGACAAAATATTTAAAAAAAAAACTCATTAAAATTTCGTTCAAACGGCGTTTTAACGAATTTCTAAAGCGTATTGACGCATTTTTACACAAGTTTTACTAGTTTCTTGCTTATATTTTAACTTGTTATTTCTTTTTTCGCGAGATTTAATATGCTTTTAATATACATGACAGAATTTTTATCAATTAAACGTACACTAACTTTATAAGAACTGACAGTGATGACAAAGTTATATTGTCTTATCAACCGAACTTTATTTCAATCTACTTAATCCTTTTAGAGTTTCCACCTTTCTCTAGGGGAGAGTTAATCAACGGAAGAGAAAGAGAAAAAGGAATGCACACGTCAATACGAAGAGATGAGTTTGAATGCATAAAAGATAACCATCTAGATTACACACAGTGCATAATAATGTAAGATTAATACGAGTGTTCATGTCGGCATACTGACAACCACAAATAGTTATATTTTTAAGTAATTAAACTTTTATTTCAATCATAAACATTTTGTTGATGCGTCTCAACCATTTGTATAAGTCACAGAGTCCAAATCGATATATACTAATGAGATAATTTTTTATTATAGACGGTGTTGCAAAAATTTTTGTTAGTAAAAAATACTCTTAAGCTGATCCTTCTCGATTAATTTCAATTCTTTATAATGAATAGTTCGAATGTGAGTAGAAAACAACCTCTGAAATTGTTTATAGCTGGAGCCCAAAGTCGTAACCGCTGCCAACAGAACTTGTGAGAACCACGGTATATCGACAGTAGTGTGAACAAACGTGCGACATGAGTATTCATTGTTTTTGAGCTTTAGTAGTTTATTCAGTTAAACAGAACAGATGAACGCTAATTTATCCACCTATTTTATCCTCTGTACTCATTCATTCTATCGCTACGCTATTATCATCACATCACAGCATCGCGAGAAAACATTTTAAGTGGACAAAAGATAATTTTTTGTGACTCAACCATTGGTGAATGTAAGTTAGAATTTACATCTGTTCGTTTTTTATTAGCTCTACTTTTTCCGTCTTTGTACAATGTCTGTCAAGCTTCTTATAGATCTTTAAGAATTATGTATTATTTATCTATTCCTAATACAACAGTTTGATTTTTCTATTTTTCTCATAGTAAAAATTGATTTTGTTTTTTTCAATAACTAATCGCGTTTTTTTTTTAGTATATAATCAGTTAACAGTTGGTATAGTTAATAGATCGACAATTCGAAATAAAGATCTTAATACGAGTCATGCTTTAAATTTTTAATGCATTCATCAAATATTTTACTGTGTTATAGGCGACAGTATAACAGAATTATGCGTTAAGAATCAAACTTGAGCAATAATGTTAGCCATTCGTCTTTCTATTTATTGTGTAGAACAAAATCAAATGAACCTTGGTTATGAATGTCTTATATAGACCACGTACATGCATAAAAAATAGTCATATACGAGTTTATTTGTTATTAAGGTGGTCTCTTTCTCAATCGTCTTGTTAGCATGTGCTAGCGAGACGATTGAGAAAAAGAGATGCAAGAAATGAAACCACACTTAGTATCAAATAAGCCAGTATATGATCGTCTTTTATGCATGTAAGTGGCCCACAAGTGATTTGCGCTTTAGGCTCTTTGCGAATTTTTTTTTTGAGATTTTCTTATTGAAACTTCTGTTATTAAAAAACAAAAGTTTTTTGCATATTTATTGTAAAGTTGTACAGTGATGGAGTAGTATGTGTAATCTGGGCTACCTTCGCAACGTGTCTTTGATATCTGGCTCTAATTTCAATGGTAACGTACTTTTGGCTTTTAACTCCAATCCTATGGTAGCGTATTTATTAACAACTTCTACGCGTTACTAAGGAAGCCTACGCCTTGAGGCTTGCTAACTCACTCTTATCCCTTCCGTTGCTACGGAAATGTACCTATTGACCTTTGACTCCGACTGATATGGAGAGTTAGGAGTAAGAGGGAGCCGGAAAAATTTCGTTTAAAAATCACATTCTGTATTTTCTTTCGTAAAATATGTGAGTTCCATAAAAGTAAAGAAGCTTTTCCCTCTTGATTTCCAAATTGATTTAGTTTTGCTTGAAAAATATTTAATTATTAAAAAACTTGATTGAAACAAAAGTCTCTCGATTGTCTTTTTTGTTCTTTCGTATGTTTTACAAAGTGATTAATCGAATTTTAGTAAATAGAATTAAATTTGGAATCATGCTATTCTAGTATTTTATTTTAAAGCTTTCAAAAAACTCAAGTTTTCCACTACTCGATAAAAAATGTCATCTGCATAGAATCTTATAAATGATGACTAGGGGTGGCACTTTATCTTTATTTTACTTTGAAAAAGTAAAGTAAAGTAAAGTTCTATACTTTACTTTACTCGGTAAAGTAAAGTTGGATCACTTTGCTTTACTGGGTAAAGTAAAACTCGACAAGAATATTTTTCACAGATAGATAAAAAAAACATACTTTCTCAACTTTACTTTTTGCAAATAAAGTGGTAAAGTACTTTACTTTACTGGTAAAGTAAAGTAACTGAACTTTACTTTACCGGGTAAAGTAAAGTTGGGTAACTTTACTTTACTTGTTAAAGTAAAGATAAAGTGTCACCCCTAATGATGACCGAGAAGTCCCGACTCGATTTGAATAATAAATTTTTCTATGGGAAAATAGATATTTGTAAATTTAAGTTTATAAAGGAAAGATGCAGTAAAACATGCTCTAAAAAAATGGCTGTTATTTGAGTCCATTCGTTCACCTAGCAAGAAAGTTACAGGCTTAGAAATATACGTCACGAAAAAATAAAAATTAATCATGAAACTTTGAGAACAACAAGAAGAAAATAGTGAACTAAATACAACTTGAGCACTTAGATCACTTGCAGAACTAGCTATGCGCATATTTCAAGATACTTGTCAAACTTTACAATTCATTTATACAAATATTATTTATAATGTGAAAGAAAAATTTCTTTTTATAATGAAACCATTATCAACATAGAATCAAAGGCAATAGAACTTTTTTAATTTGAAATAGACTCCAGATATTTATTAGAGGGTGACACTAATGACAAAGAAGCTGTGTTCATAGAAAAAAAAAAAAATTTTATTATGGATTTGTGCACCATGTCGAAAATGTAAAATAGTTCTGTAAGTTTAGCTTTGAAGATGAAAAAAATTTTGGCATTAAATTCTAATTGATTTGAGTCAAATTTCTTCTACAGTTCTTCTTCACTTACAATGAAAACATGCCACTTCAAGTCACTATCGATACACGATCCAACAATTAATTATACGAGCCTGAATATTTCCTCAACAACGTTGTCTAAGCCTGTTTCACTGGAACAAACTTCACTATTTGCCGTCGAAAACTTTTCATATTTATGCAAGAAATTTGATGCACTGCATAAATCTATTAATCTTCAGGAATGAGTAATAAATATTTGAGCCTACTTTGCCTACAAAGCTTGAATCGATGCTAGGCTCTAATCTCCTAAAATATCATGATTCCACCATCTATAGCATAGAATGATAATGAAACGAATATCTTCGACATATTTATTCACTGTATGAGTATGTTTCATTTAGTGACGATGCCAAAACAAGTCTGAAGAGAGAGGCGCAAGCACCGATTTAAAGCTGAAAAGGAGGACACTGTTTTATCGTAATGTTAGGTCAGCTAACTTCTAGAGAGAACAGCCTTCTCATGTCACCAGAGAGCAGCATGTTTACTTTTTTTTTACAGACTCCAATCCAAATCTGTAAGGAGTCATAACTTTTTACTAGAGTAACTTTGAATCTTCTCTATTCAAACTCGAAATTGAATGAAAACTGAGTCTTAAATTAAATCTGGACATGGTTTCAGACTCCACAAAAACTAAAAGTTTGGTCCTGAATCAAGAATCTCATACAACTCTCTACTAATTACTAGTTTGATTTCGTATTTATGGATAGATATCTGTCGTCAATACATATGAAGGTCATCGCATCAGTAAGAACAAAAAAAGTTCTTATTCAATTAAATGTTTTCTCTAATTAATTTAAATTTATTAATAAGACTAATGATTTTTTGAAAATAAGCCAACATAAAAAGGCGAAGTAGCAATTCCACACATGTTATCATTTCGTTTAACTTTGATATAACCATTTTCACCCCAATCTGCTCCCCATGAATTTTTAACTTTCCAATAATCAATACCATTTTCAGTTCCATAACCAACAACAACAGGTGCATGATTCAGATTTCTATTTGTTGGACATCCAGGTACATTAAAAATACCAGATGCATAATGATCAAATTTATTCGATGCTTCTCGTAGAATAGTATCATTACCTGTGCGTAGTCCACAATTGAAATAAACAACGATTGGACCTCGTTCATAAACAGTTTTTTTCATATATTCTTCATTTCCAGTTGGTAATCGTTCATAATCCAGTGTATAAGTTGAATTATATGAAAGACGTACTCCACCTTGAGTTTGACATTTCTCTTGTTGTTTTCCATCGGATGTTGATGGATAATCTTTTTCTAAATTAAGTTTATAATCATTGCTTCTAATATATTCAAAACAATCTTCAACAGTTCCTCCATCGCAACCACCTGAACCTCTACAATCAATTAATTGTTGTGGACTTAATGGACCAGTTTGATTATAAATTTCTGCATATGTTTTTTCTAAAGCTCCAACCATACCAAAAGCATAACATGAACCACAATGATGTTGATTTTTTACAGGTGCAACAGCTCCTGGAATACGTGTTTGATTAGTCCAATCATATTCCGGTGGAACTATTGTGTCATCACGTGATTCTAT